TATGTATCCACCCTAGCAGAAACAAACCGGGCCCCATTTGACCTAACGGAGGGCGAGTCTGAACTGGTCTCAGGGTTTAACGTTGAATACGCCGCAGGGCCTTTCGCCCTGTTTTTCCTAGCCGAATATGCCAACATCATGCTGATAAACACGCTCACAGCCATCATCTTCCTTAACCCAAGCGCCCTAGGGCCCCCTACAGAGCTATTCCCCATCATCCTAGCCACAAAAGTCCTCCTTCTATCCTCCGGCTTCCTATGGGTCCGAGCCTCCTACCCCCGATTCCGATATGACCAGCTTATGCACCTCCTATGAAAAAACTTCCTACCCCTCACACTAGCCCTATGCCTCTGACACACTAGCCTACCCATCTGCTACGCAGGCCTACCTCCTTCCACAAGGAAATGTGCCTGAACTCAAAGGGTCACTATGATAAAGTGAACATAGAGGTACAACAGCCCTCTCATTTCCTATTGACCTTAGAAAAGTAGGAATTGAACCTACACAGAAGAGATCAAAACTCTCCATACTTCCCTTATATTATTTTCTAGTAGAGTCAGCTAATCAAGCTACCGGGCCCATACCCCGGAAATGATGGTTCAACCCCCTCCTCTACTAATGAACCCCCATGCAACCCCAGTCCTAGTCCTCAGTCTCGCATTAGGCACAACAATCACAATCTCTAGCAACCACTGAGTCCTAGCCTGAACCGGACTAGAAATTAACACACTAGCCATCATCCCCCTAATCTCCAAATCCCACCACCCGCGAGCAGTAGAAGCCGCGACAAAATACTTCTTGACACAGGCAGCTGCCTCCGCCCTAGTACTATTCTCCAGCATAACCAACGCCTGAGCCACCGGCCAGTGAGACATCACACAACTTAACCACCCAACCTCATGTCTACTGCTCACAGCAGCAATCGCAATTAAATTAGGCCTGGTCCCATTTCACTTCTGATTCCCAGAAGTCCTACAAGGATCCCCCCTAATAACGGCCCTCCTACTCTCAACCCTCATAAAATTCCCCCCACTGACCCTCCTCCTAATGACATCTAAATCTCTCAACCCAGCCCTACTTACCGCAATAGCCCTGGCCTCAGCAGCATTGGGAGGCTGAATAGGACTAAATCAAACACAAACACGCAAAATCCTAGCCTTCTCATCCATCTCCCACCTAGGCTGAATCGCCATCATCCTAGTCTACAGCCCCAAGCTAGCACTACTCACCTTCTATCTCTACACAATCATGACATCAGCTGTATTCATGGCCCTAAACAAGATTAAAGCTCTCAACCTGTCCATAATCCTAACCTCATGGACAAAGACCCCGGTACTAAACGCCACCCTAATGCTAGTGCTGCTGTCCCTGGCAGGCCTCCCCCCACTGACAGGGTTTATACCAAAGTGACTCATCATCCAAGAGCTAACTAAGCAAGAGATAACACCCGCAGCCATAGCAATCGCCATGCTATCCCTACTTAGCCTATTCTTCTACCTACGCCTCGCATACCACTCAACAATCACCCTCCCACCAAACTCGTCCAACCACATAAAACAGTGGTACACTAGCAAACCCCCAAGCACGCCCACCGCAATCCTAGCCTCACTATCAATCCTCCTACTCCCCCTCTCCCCCATAGTCCACGCTATTGTCTAGAAACTTAGGATAACACCCACCTAAACCGAAGGCCTTCAAAGCCTTAAATAAGAGTTAAACCCTCTTAGTTTCTGCGCTAAGACCAACAGGACACTAACCTGTATCTCCTGGATGCAAACCAGACGCTTTAATTAAGCTAAAGCCTTTACTAGACAGACGGGCTTCGATCCCGCAAAATTTTAGTTAACAGCTAAACGCCCAAACCTACTGGCCTCTGCCTAAGGCCCCGGTACACTCTCGTGCACATCGATGAGCTTGCAACTCAACATGAACTTCACTACAGGGCCGATAAGAAGAGGAATTGAACCTCTGTAAAAAGGACTACAGCCTAACGCTTTAAACACTCAGCCATCTTACCCGTGACCTTCATCAATCGATGACTATTTTCTACCAATCACAAAGACATCGGTACTCTATACCTTATCTTCGGGGCATGAGCCGGAATAATTGGCACAGCACTCAGCCTACTGATCCGGGCAGAACTAGGCCAGCCAGGGACCCTCCTGGGCGACGACCAAATTTATAACGTGATCGTCACCGCTCACGCCTTCGTAATAATCTTCTTCATGGTAATGCCCATCATAATTGGAGGGTTCGGCAACTGATTGGTCCCCCTGATAATCGGTGCCCCCGACATAGCATTCCCACGAATAAACAACATAAGCTTCTGACTCCTCCCACCATCATTCCTCCTTCTACTCGCCTCATCCACTGTAGAAGCTGGCGCTGGTACGGGTTGAACCGTATACCCACCTCTAGCAGGCAACCTAGCCCACGCCGGAGCCTCAGTGGACCTGGCTATCTTCTCACTTCACCTGGCTGGTGTCTCCTCCATCCTCGGAGCCATTAACTTCATTACCACAGCCATCAACATAAAACCCCCCGCACTCTCACAATACCAAACCCCACTTTTCGTCTGATCAGTCCTAATTACCGCCATCCTGCTCCTCCTATCACTCCCCGTCCTCGCCGCCGGCATCACAATGCTACTAACCGACCGAAACCTAAACACCACATTCTTTGATCCTGCCGGAGGGGGAGACCCAATCCTGTACCAACACCTATTTTGATTCTTCGGCCACCCAGAAGTCTATATCTTAATCCTCCCAGGATTCGGAATTATCTCACACGTAGTCACATACTACTCGGGCAAAAAGGAACCCTTCGGCTACATAGGAATAGTCTGAGCCATGCTATCCATCGGCTTCCTAGGATTTATCGTCTGAGCCCACCACATATTCACCGTAGGAATAGACGTTGACACCCGGGCCTACTTCACATCCGCCACTATAATCATCGCCATCCCTACCGGAATCAAAGTCTTTAGCTGACTCGCCACCCTACACGGGGGAACAATCAAATGAGATCCCCCAATACTCTGAGCTCTAGGGTTTATCTTCCTATTTACCATCGGAGGACTAACAGGGATCGTCCTTGCGAACTCCTCCCTAGATATCGCCCTGCATGACACGTACTACGTAGTCGCCCACTTCCACTACGTACTATCTATGGGCGCTGTCTTTGCCATCCTAGCTGGATTCACTCACTGATTCCCCCTTCTTACAGGATTCACTCTACACCAAACATGAGCAAAAGCCCACTTCGGAGTGATATTTACAGGGGTAAACCTAACATTCTTCCCCCAACACTTCCTAGGCCTGGCAGGAATGCCCCGACGATACTCGGACTACCCTGATGCCTACACACTGTGAAACACCGTCTCCTCTATTGGGTCCCTGATCTCAATAGTGGCCGTAATCATACTAATGTTCATCATCTGAGAAGCCTTCTCAGCCAAACGGAAAGTCCTCCAACCAGAATTAACCGCCACAAACATTGAGTGAATCCACGGCTGCCCCCCTCCATACCACACCTTCGAGGAGCCAGCTTTCGTTCAAGTACAAGAAAGGAAGGAATCGAACCTCCATACACTGGTTTCAAGCCAGCTGCATTAACCACTCATGCTTCTTTCTCATGAGATGTTAGTAAACCAATTACATAGCCTTGTCAAGGCTAAATCACTAGGTGAAAGCCCTGTACATCTCACGTGGCCAACCACTCCCAACTAGGATTCCAAGACGCCTCATCACCCATTATAGAAGAACTCGTTGAATTCCACGACCACGCTCTGATTGTTGCCTTAGCTATCTGCAGCCTAGTCCTATACCTCTTAGCCCACATGCTAATAGAAAAACTATCATCCAACGCAGTAGACGCCCAAGAAGTAGAACTAATCTGAACAATCCTACCCGCCATCGTCCTAGTACTCCTCGCCCTCCCATCCCTACAAATCCTGTACATAATAGACGAAATCGACGAGCCAGACCTCACACTAAAAGCCATTGGCCACCAGTGATACTGAAGCTACGAATACACAGACTTCAAGGACCTCTCATTCGACTCCTACATAATTCCCACCACAGACCTGCCAAATGGGCACTTCCGACTCCTAGAAGTTGACCACCGCGTAGTCGTACCCATAGAATCACCGATCCGCGTAATTATTACTGCCGGAGACGTACTTCACTCATGAGCAGTTCCAACGCTCGGAGTTAAAACAGATGCAATCCCAGGCCGACTAAACCAAACCTCATTCATTACCACCCGGCCTGGGATTTTCTACGGCCAGTGCTCAGAAATCTGCGGGGCTAACCACAGCTACATGCCTATTGTAGTAGAATCTACCCCACTCCCATACTTTGAAGCCTGATCATCCCTCCTATCGTCATCCTAATCATTAAGAAGCTATGCAACAGCACTAGCCTTTTAAGCTAGCTAAAGAGGAATTATCCCCTCCTTAATGGCATGCCTCAACTCAACCCTGCACCATGATTCTCAATCATAGTCATAACCTGACTAACCCTCGCACTCCTAATCCAGCCAAAACTGCTAACCTTCACCACAACAAATCCCCCATCAAAAAAACCATCACTCATCACCAAACCCACACCATGAGCCTGACCATGAACCTAAGTTTCTTTGACCAATTCTCAAGCCCCCACCTACTTGGCATCCCCCTGATCCTACTATCCCTGCTCTTCCCAGCCCTATTGTTCCCATCCCCAGGCAACCGATGAATCAACAACCGACTATCCACCATCCAACTGTGACTCCTACACCTAATCACAAAACAACTAATAATCCCATTAAACAAAAACGGCCACAAATGAGCCCTGATGCTAACATCACTAATAACCATACTCCTAACAATCAACCTTCTAGGACTTCTCCCATATACATTCACCCCAACCACCCAGCTATCCATAAACATGGCCCTAGCCTTCCCCCTGTGGCTTGCTACCCTACTAACAGGCCTGCGAAACAAACCATCAGCCTCCTTGGCTCACTTACTGCCAGAAGGAACCCCAACACCCCTGATCCCCGCACTAATCCTGATCGAAACAACCAGCCTGCTGATCCGGCCCTTAGCTCTAGGAGTCCGCCTCACAGCTAACCTCACAGCAGGCCACCTACTTATTCAACTCATCTCCACAGCCTCCATCGCACTCATGCCCATCCTTCCCACAGTATCAATCCTAACAATAGCCATCCTACTACTCCTCACCATCCTAGAAGTAGCAGTGGCCATAATCCAGGCCTACGTTTTCGTCCTCCTCCTAAGCCTGTACTTACAAGAAAACATCTAATGGCACACCAAGCACACTCCTACCACATAGTCGACCCCAGCCCCTGACCAATCTTTGGAGCTGCCGCCGCCTTACTCACAACCTCAGGGCTAGTCATGTGATTCCACTACAACTCATCTATCCTGCTAGCCGCCGGCCTCTTATCAATGCTCCTAGTGATACTCCAATGATGACGGGACATTGTCCGAGAGAGCACCTTCCAAGGCCACCACACACCTACAGTCCAAAAAGGCCTACGATACGGCATAATCCTCTTCATCACATCCGAAGCTTTCTTCTTCCTAGGATTTTTCTGGGCATTCTTCCACTCAAGCCTAGTACCAACCCCCGAACTAGGCGGCCAATGACCCCCAGCGGGCATCAAACCGCTCAACCCCATAGAAGTCCCGCTACTAAACACAGCCATCCTCCTAGCCTCAGGCGTAACTGTCACATGAGCCCACCACAGCATCACAGAAGGAAACCGAAAACATGCCATCCACGCCCTAACATTGACGATTCTCCTAGGATTCTACTTCACCGCCCTACAAGCAATAGAGTACCATGAAGCCCCATTCTCAATCGCCGACAGCGTCTACGGCTCCACTTTCTTTGTTGCCACCGGATTCCACGGACTCCACGTGATCATCGGATCCACCTTCCTAACCGTCTGCCTCCTCCGACTAATCAAATTCCACTTCACATCAGACCACCACTTCGGATTTGAAGCCGCAGCCTGATACTGACACTTCGTAGACGTTATCTGACTATTCCTCTATATAACCATCTACTGATGAGGATCTTGCTCTTCTAGTATATTAATTACAATTGACTTCCAATCTCTAAAATCTGGTGCAAGCCCAGAGAAGAGCAATGAACATACTCACATTTATGTTCTCCCTATCACTGGTCCTAAGTGCCATCCTAACCGCACTAAACTTCTGACTCGCCCAAATGACCCCCGACTCAGAAAAACTCTCACCATACGAATGCGGATTCGACCCCCTCGGGTCTGCACGCCTACCATTCTCAATCCGATTCTTCCTCAGTAGCCATCCTGTTCCTCCTGTTCGACCTAGAAATCGCCCTCCTACTCCCCCTACCCTGGGCAATCCAACTACAGTCGCCCCTAATAACCCTCGCCTGAACCGCAGCTATTCTATCTCTCCTAACGCTAGGGCTAGCCTACGAATGAGCTCAGGGGGGCCTAGAATGAGCAGAATAACAGAAAGTTAGTCTAGCCCAAAGACAGCTGGTTTCGGCCCAGCAGACTACAGCCAACCCTGTAACTTTCTTATGTCGCCCCTACACCTGAGCTTCTACTCAGCCTTCATTCTTAGCGGACTGGGACTGGCCTTCCACCGAACCCACCTAGTATCAGCCCTACTATGCCTTGAAAGCATGATACTTTCAATGTTTGTAGGCCTAACAATATGGTCTATCGAGAGCCAAACCCCCTCATTCGCCGCAGTACCAATCATCATACTCACCTTCTCAGCATGTGAGGCAGGCACCGGCCTAGCCATCCTAGTAGCCTCTACACGCACCCACGGCTCCGACCACCTGCACAACCTAAACTTACTACAATGCTAAAAGTTATCCTACCAACAATTATACTACTCCCAACAGCCCTACTATCCCCTCCAAAATTCCTGTGAACTAATACTACCATGTATAGCCTGCTAATTGCCGCCCTCAGCCTCCAATGACTAATCCCGACCTACTACCCCTACAAATTCCTGTCCAATTGAACAGGAATCAACCAAATCTCCTCCCCCCTCCTGGTGCTATCCTGCTGACTCCTCCCGCTTATAATCATAGCAAGCCAAAACCACCTCCAAGGAGAGCCCCTACCACGAAAGCGAATATTCATTTCAACCCTGATTATAGTCCAACCGTTCATCCTCCTAGCCTTCTCTACCACAGAACTAGCGCTATTTTACATTGCATTCGAAGCCACACTTATCCCAACCCTGATCCTAATCACACGATGGGGAAACCAACCTGAACGCCTCAGCGCCGGCACCTATCTACTATTTTATACGCTAGTAAGCTCACTACCCCTTTTAATCACGATTATACACCTGTACGTAAAAATCGGCACCCTACACCTACCAACCCTAGAACTAACCCACCCAACCCTATCCACCTCATGAACAAGCATTCTATCAGGACTAGCACTGCTTATAGCATTCATAGTAAAAGCCCCTCTATATGGCTTACATCTTTGACTACCAAAAGCCCACGTAGAGGCTCCCATCGCAGGCTCAATACTCCTCGCCGCCCTTCTGCTAAAACTAGGAGGCTACGGGATCATACGAGTCACCCTACTAATAGGACCTCTATCCAACATCCTCCACTACCCCTTCCTAACCCTAGCCCTATGAGGTGCCCTAATAACTAGCTCAATCTGCCTCCGACAAACAGACCTAAAATCACTAATCGCCTACTCATCCGTCAGCCACATAGGACTGGTCATCGCTGCAGGAATAATCCAAACCCACTGATCATTCTCAGGGGCAATAATCCTAATAATCTCCCACGGACTAACCTCCTCCATACTATTCTGCCTAGCCAACACAAACTACGAACGCACACACAGCCGAATCCTGCTACTCACACGAGGCCTCCAACCCCTACTACCCCTCATAGCCACCTGATGACTACTAGCCAACTTAACAAACATGGCCCTTCCCCCAACAACAAACCTTATAGCAGAGCTAACCATCATAATCACCCTATTTAACTGATCCGCCCTCACAATCATCCTGACAGGAATTGCCACCCTACTAACCGCATCATACACCTTATTCATGCTGCTAGTCACCCAACGGGGCTCAATTCCCTCCCATATCACATCCATTCAAAACTCAACCACACGAGAGCACCTGCTCATAACACTCCACATCATCCCCATGTTCCTCTTGATCCTCAAGCCCGAACTAATCTCTGGAGCCCCCTTATGCAAGCATAGTTTAAACCAAACATTAGGCTGTGATCCTAAAAATAGAAGTTCAAACCTTCTTGCCTGCCGAGGGGAGGTTAAACCAACAAGAACTGCTAATTCTTGCATCTGGGCTTTAAACCCCAGCCCCCTTACTTTTAAAGGATAATAGTAATCCACTGGTCTTAGGAGCCATCCATCTTGGTGCAACTCCAAGTAAAAGTAGTGAATGCGACCCTACTCATTAACTCCCTCACACTCCTCACACTAACCATCCTCCTAACTCCAATCATCCTCCCACTCCTCTTTAAGGGCTTTAAAAACACCCCCCTCTCTATCACTCGCACCGTAAAAGCTGCATTTCTAACAAGCCTGGCCCCAACAACTACATTCATCTACTCCGGAC